AGACGGGGTTTCACCATGTTGACCAGGATGGTCTTGATCTCTTGACCTCGTGATCCACCCGCCTCGGCCTCCCAAAGTGCTGGGATTACAGGCTTGAGCCACCGCGCCCGGCCTGATTGAACACTTCTGTGGATAAAGCAATCCCCATGCTACAGTGACAGGCTTTAGGGAGGTATAAAAGATGTAAAGACATGTGTCCTCGCTCTTGGGGTTGAGGGTGGAGGGGAAAGGTGGTATATAAATGGGAACACAGACTATTATTGTAAGCTTTAACATTTAGGAAACATGGACAAAAGCAAATTTAATGTGCTGAGAAGTATGTAAGGGCTGAGAAGACTTGAAGTAATAAAGTAAGAATCAGTGAAATAAATTAGGAGTGATTTCTGAATCAGCAAATTTTGAAATGGACTTGGGAGACTATGGATTAGTCATGAAGAGGTATGGGCTATTGAGTTAGATGGGTCTTCGTTCAAACCTTCGGTCTACTTTTTACCATGTGACCTTGGACAAGTTACTTCTCTTATCTGTAAAATGTGAGCATTCAAGTAAATGAAATAGTTATTGTGTTGGGAATAAAAGAAAAGAAAGGATCTTCCAAACAGAAAGTATAGAATGTACAGTGTGCAATGATGGTATGAATGACTAAGTTGTGTGTGGGGGGAATATGTGAGAGTGACTGTCGAGAATGTGGGTTGGGCAAGTCATGGGTAGAGCAGGCAAGAGGGTGGAGGGGACTCAGAAGCTAGACTCTGTTGGGTGTTGATAGGAGGGTCAATAGAGTCATTGTAGGTCCTTGAACAAAGGATGGATTTAATGAGAAATATCGAGCCCTGTGGTTCAGGAACTCAGGGACAAGGAGTCAGGCAGGCACCCGTACATTGTGACTCTTCTTTTCTGTACCATCCTGGCCTGAAGGGATACAGCCAGTAGACATAAGAGTCATTGCAGAAGTTTTGTGTTTACAAACCTTACTTTGCTGAGCCTGCTTGTGCCTGTCTTATAGTGCACCAACCTGTGGGGACGTCTCAGGACTGTGGCTGGATTCTCCTCAAGAGCTTATAGTAAGGACAGCATTATGTTTCAAGTACATTTAACTCTCAGTTACCTCTGCTAACGTAGGGAGCGCTGTTGTAAGTAATTCAGAACTTCATAAAGACATTTCTTGGTTTGAAAATACATTGTTTTTCAAACCAGATTTATTTTCATGTTTGGGGATCATACTGATATTGAAACAAATTTGCATTTCTAAGCTTGTATGACCTGATGGTGGGGAGAGTACACTGATGATGAGAACAGTCAATCTTGTATTAAAGATTTGGCCTCAGAAATCCGTAAAATGAATAATCCATTTGTGGATAATTAAGACTAGACTACACTGAATATGTTGATAGACCAATTTCTTTTCAAAACCTCTATGGATCTGTCTGGGCATGGTGGCTCATGCCTGTAATCCCAGCACTTTGGGAGGCTGAGGTGGGCAGATAACCTGAGGTCAGGAGTTCGAGACCAGCCTGGCCGACATGGTGAAAACCTATCTCTACTAAAAATACAAAAATTGGCCTGGTGTGATGGTGGGCGCCTATAATCCCAGCTATTTGGGAGGCTAAGGCAAGAGGATCGCTTGAACCTAGGAGGTGGAGGTCGCAGTGAGCCAAGACTTCGCCATTGCACTCCAGCCTGGGCAACAAGAGTGAAACTCTTGTTTTTTAAAAAGAAAAAAATCTGTGTGAATCCAATGTGCTCTCTTAGCCTGTCTGTTTTATGTCTGAGAATGACTGGCAGGTGATGCCTATGTTCCAGCCAGAATGAGCCTTCACTCACAGTATCTGGACGAATCCCACTGCATTATGTTGCATTGTTGAAGATTAAGCTGGCTTTCTCAAAGAACTTGTGCTTTGTAGAGGCTCTTTCAGATACCAGCTTCACTGAAAATCTGT